GTATTCTGCTGAGCTGATAGTTCAATTTTGTAGCTTCGACACTTTGTCTGCTCTCATTTGGTCTTGCAAGCTTGCATACTTGTCTCTGTGGCGGGTTTCATAGTGTCAGCGCAGATTGTATACTTTGAACACAGACACAGTTTCTTTACAGATGAGCCAAACAGACATTTCTTTGCATTGAACAAAACATTTATCACTTTAGGTTAAATACCCTGCATTCTGAATCAACTTTTCTCTTTTCCAACCGTTTGGCCATTTTGTTGTCTGTTTGAATTTTCTTGCTGGCTCACATGCAGTAGCGCCTGCTTGATCACGATGGAATGTTTTGCTGAATTCTGTTGGTGGATGAATCTAACAAATAATTAGCCGATGTTAGTAACTAAGGAAAATTTTAGTCTGAAAGCCAACCTTTATTATCAAATACAGATATGAGTAGAAATATGTCTTTGGCATTTTCAGAGGGCCGGTCCAAATGTGAGCGTGGGCTGTATCCGGCCCGAGGGCCATAGTTTGGGGACCCCTGCCATAAATGTTACAAACCTCTCACAGATATGCATAGAGAAAAATGGCCATGGTATCTAATACTTCAGATCATATGGCTTCCTTAGCATTAGCTGTTTTGCCCAAATACAGGAATGTTAGCAACTCAGTAAGACCAAGGTTTGTGGTGGTCTTGCCCTGTAGCCCTTGATACCCTGCACTTTAAATCCATGTAATGGCTTCTGAACTTGTAGTCAATGAGTGCAGGCCAGGCGTCTGCCATATGTTATGTAACTCACCGAACTGGGTCATCTTGCTTTCCCGCGCTTTCCACTCCAGAACACTAAACCGGCTTTTGGCGCAAGCCCTCATGCTTGACATGCTTCGCTTAACTACCCTGATCACTTGGCATGTAGTGCTCTCGTCTGTGCATATTAACTCAAAAGTTTGAACCTTTGGTTGTCAGTGGTGTTATAATTGTATTAGTCTCCAGACAAGGACAGACTTGCAGAGCAGAGTGTCAGGTTTCATGATTGATTCCCAATAAATTCATATTAAAGAGATAAGTCCATTAATAATTACAATTTTATTTTCATTTAATACTTTTATTTATTTATTTATTTAAATTATACATTTTTGAATGTAGTTTGGTCATACTATTGCTTGTCATCCTGCATAAATAGTGTGAAAATAAAGTGCAAAAGTGGCAAAACAATTAATTTAAGTGTCAGCAATAGAGGTCGACCGATACGAGTTTTTCTCTGGCCGATGCCGATATTTAGAAATCAGGGCAGCCGACGGCCAATATATGATGATGATTTTTTTGGCTGATATGTTTGGCCGATTTTTTTTTCGTCTTTGTCTCATAAAAGCGAGTTTGAGTAAATGATTATTGCAGGGCACAAGATGGTAATAGTAGTAGTAGTAGTAGTAGCCTAATAAAACAGGTACATCTCAAAAAATTAGAATATCATGAAAAAGGTCAATATTTTTTGTCACTCATTTCAGAAAGTGAAACCCATATATTATTATTCATTACATATAGAGTGAAATATTTCAAGCCTTTATTTCTTGAAATTTTGATGATTATGGCTTACAGATAATGAAAACCCAAAATTCAGTGTCTCAGAAAATTTGAATATTGTGAAAAAGTTCAATATTGGAAAGTCATGGTGTCACACCCTAATCAGCTAATTACCTCAAAACACCTGCAAAGGTTTCCTGAGCCTTTAAATGGTCTCTCAGTCTGGGTCAGTAGGCTACACAATCATGGGGAAGACTGCTGACTTGACAGATGTCCAGAAGACAGTCATTGACGCCCTCCACAAGGAGGGTAAGCCACAAAAGTTCATTGCTAAAGAAGCTGGTTGTTCACAGAGTGCTGTAAACTCCAGCAGCCACTAAAGCAAAAGGGGAAACAAATGTATTTTTTTATTTAATCTTTTCACTCAAATTATGTTATGCTGAAAAATATAAATAAAAAAGTAAATTACAAGCATTTCTTGCTAGTGGTCTCAGATTAAGAAGTAATTGAACTAAATAAAAAATATTAAGTATATACACTGAACAAGATTATAAACGCAACACTTTTGTTTTTGCCCCCATTTTTCATGAGCTGAACTCAAAAGATCTAGTACTTTTTCTGTGTACACAAAAGGCCTATTTCTCTCAAATATTGTTCACAAATCTGTCTAATTCTGTGTTAGTGAGCACTTCTCCTTTGCCGAGATAATCCATCCACCTCACAGGTGTGGCATATCAAGATGCTGATTAGACAGCATGATTATTGCACAGGTGTGCCTTAGGCTGGCCACAATAAAAGGCCACTCTAAAATGTGTTGCGTTTATAATTTTGTTCAGTGTGTATATATATATATATACAGTATATATATATTACACTGCACATTATTTTACCTCAATTTTTTTTATATATTTATTTATTTTTGGTGGTTGTTTGTTTGTGTAGTTTTGTTTTACTGGTTCATCTCAAACTATTATTATCATTATTCCTCCATGTATACATTTTAACATTACTTGCATATCTTAGTTGTTCTCTCTTGCTTTCTCGTTATGTGATGAGATGTGACGTACAGTCCCTCTCCCTGCCCTGCTTTCCTCTGATCTGCCATCCTCACCTCACACTCTTGACTGGGAGGAGAATAGTGTGCTTCCATAGCCATTTTTAATCAGCTCCTCTGCCCTGCCAAGCTGATTAAAGCAGATGGAGGTCATTACCATATGGCAAATCTGCTCAATTTACTCTACATACTGCTGCAGCTTGAGTCTCCAGACTGAAAATTCCCTCTCTCTTTCTCTCTCTCAATCTGATGTGGAGAGCAGCCTGTATGGCTATATTGGCGTGACTATGAAAAACTTAAAAACTCTTGGTTTCTCAAGTCCATATGGGAATAAATAAGTTAACAGACAAAGCTACCCTCTGTTTACCTTCAGACGGGATTGATTACTGCAATTTCCAAATGAGCCAATAAAAACAAAGCTGAAAAAAACCAAAATTGTCTGATATCTCAGAGCAGACTTAATTCAGTTCATCAACTGTTGTTGATACATGGATCTAAAGCTACATCACCCAACCATTGCTTTTTTTTCTTTCCATTGCTCTCTTTCAACATGCAGTAGGAGTTTCTTGTACAATTTTGCAATACTAGCAACAGTGAAACATGAATCACTTCAAAGGCAACTCTGTTTGGTTTTGTTTATATGTATATTTTAAGACTTGTAATTGAGATCAGGATTAAAAATTGGGTTGATGCGGCCAGACTGAGATCATACCTCAACCGTACCTCAACCATAAACTGATTTATGGCTGCTGGGCTGACTCTTATGTAATATAATTACTCTAACATGCTGCTGTGTACAATATTGCAACAACAGAGCAATGGAGAGAATGAGAATGGGAATTGTGGGTTAAGAACAGCCTCTCAAGTCATCGAGCTGTCTACTGAGGCTTAAAACATCACTGTGTGTTAGTAAAGAACATTGAGAAACTTCAGATTAGGCCTTATGTAAGAGTTGATTTTTGTGTCCAAATAAGCCAGGCTTATTTCAGTCTGACTTATTTTCACTTGATTTGGTTTCATAAAGCAAAATTACCATAGCTCAAACTCAGTCACACTGGCAACTTATGCTGGGAAACTAACCTGGTCTGGAGCAGGCTAACTGTCAGGCTAAGCTGAGCTCCTCTGACACTGACCAATAGGAACACATTTATATTACCACTGACTCTCTCACATACAATTAGTTGACATTATTATTAGTCCAAAAATAAAAACACAATGCAACTTAAATAATCAAATAAATAAAAGATAGGCTACAACCAACTGTATTTAATGTATTGTGCCCAAAATTTAATGACTTTTTTTTTTTAAAGATATATGAAAACATTTTAACATAGTTGCTACTTGCACATTCAGTTGATCAGCAGTTTCTAGCCATGCAGCCTTTCTCTCGGGTTTTATGACAGCTGTACCTTTTATGGTTATTAGTAGAACATTAAAACATTACAATCTAAAATTGCTCTTTAAAGCATTAAAAACACTAAATTAAAAGTTAAAACCACTGATTAAAAAATGAAAATAAATAATAGAAATTAAACTACATTTTAACTGATAAGAGGAACACACATTTAACTCATTTGAGATATTAGGGCTGTATTAGCCAGCTTACATTTGATTTACAGTTACTGCTATGATAAAAAAAATACACTTATATGTAGGATTAAAATTCTACATGACACATTTAATGTCCAACAACAAATATTTTAGCAGAATGCATATTTTATTCAGAATTATTGCGCTATTATTCTATTGCGTTCCATCTGTGTAGCGCGCATGCGCGCAGCAGCGCTCATTCACTCACGAAGCCTCACCCACTCCTGACAGCAAAATGGATATGTTATATTTGCATGACTTTCTAACATTTACAGATGGAAAATATACATGTGAGGTGTCAGTTATGCACTGAGCAAAAACACAGCGCCTCAAATGCATTAAACAGCACAAATATTCGCTGTTAGCGATGGTGGATCGATTTGATCCATGATCGACATTAAGGGCTGCTTAAGAATAAGCGTGCACATCAAATAATCCTGACTCATTGAATCTGGATCGAATTAGTGAGATTTCGTGAATTTAAATTGTCGTTTATGAAACCACTTTAGTCCTGATTGATTTGTTAGGTTATTTCAAGTCAGGTTTTGGACTTTAATCCCCGGTTTTCTTAGCATCTTTTATGAAACAGCCCCCTGGTCTGCGGGCAGTATGAATCAACATGTCAGCATCTAAACAGTATATTGTTTAAAACAATATATGTGGGCTGTTTTATACAACATTTAGTTGAAAAACAACCATCCATTAATGAGTTATAGTTACCTGGTTATAATGAGATATAGTTAACTCATCAGTGGGTGGATGTTTATAATTGGTAAAAAAAAATATATTATTGTAAAAAAAAATGTGTTGCACTCAATGAGAACCTAATTGACCCTAACTGACCCACAATGGTGTGACTCTACAGAAGCAGCGCTGCATAGTCTATTGAGAGCACTCACTAGTGAGACATACGATGACCCCACACAGCATCTGGAGAGAGAGCAAGCCCTCGCCAAACAGTTTGCTGAGATCCTGCACTTCACACTGCGCTTTGATGAGCTCAAGGTGAGGACCATTCCTCAATATTATACCTCAATAAAAATTCCTTTGTTACGTGATGATAATGGTTTTTGTTATCATTATTTATTTTTAAATATTGGTTGCAGCCATTGCATAAATGAAAGACCATTATACATGATACAGGTTCATCCTGTTTATTTTCACCAGAGTCAGTCGATGAATTAATTTGCATTTAAAATTCTTGTTTATTTAGCATTGGATGTGTACTAATACTAGGGCTGACACAATACAGGTCAAAAGTCATTGGTTTGAATCTCATGAAACCTGTCAAGAACATGTTTGAGTCTTATAATAAGAAATAAAAATAATATTTCTATTTAAATCAAATGAAGCCTTGTTGTTGAATCATTAACATTTTTAGTATTTATTACAAATATTGTTAAGAACTTTCCAGCCCTCTGAATTATTATTACCATAATAAAAAATATGAAAAGAAAATATTAATTTATATTGGTAGTATTATATTGACTTTAATTTTTGATGGCTTAAAAAATTACTGAGAGTTTAATGAGAATCACTAATGAGAATATTAGTAATTATGAAAAAAAAAACTACAAATTAAATGTAAACATCCAGGTAATCAAAATTTATGGAAAAAATTATGCCTAATTGTTATGAAAATAATATACATAATAATGTTTAATTATCAAACTTAACGGACCTAAAACATGCTTCATTTTCTTTATGTAAAATATGAGGTCTGTGAGTAGAAGTTATTCATTAATGTTCTGTAGTCAAATGAAATGCATGGTTAAAAGATGAGCTCACCATTTACTGTAAGTCAGCAGAATTTTAACATGCAGCCTGCTATTACACATTACCATGCGATTGATGAGACTGACCAGGATGTGATGCCTTAACAAGCTTCCACTTCTTTCTAATGACATGCTAATCATGATTAGAAACCAGCTAATGAGAAAATAATTACTTTTCAATTGCACGTGTCAGTTTTCACTGGCCCAGGTGCTTGCCAAACCTTTCTCAACACTTAAGATCACAAGAAAATGAGCTTTTGAGCTGTCACTCTCATCATTCTCTTATTCTCTGCTTATACAGCTGCTGTTTCTTTTACATCAAATTAATAATGCAGAACGGACACTTAAAAGTGTATATGCCAAGACAGCAGCATGCTATAGTGTGCTTTTTTACACACTCCTCTGACCATGTCAGAACCTCAGACACTCAAACAACCCTAAATGACTGAACAGTAAACCACCTCATTTGTCTCGGGTTATGTGTCCAAAAAAATCTAATAATGTTTCATCTAGCCGTTTTCTTATTCATCTCAGCACCAACACTAGCGCCTTTCTGTCCTGCTCTTCATAAACATTCACATACACCCCGACGCCCTGCGGCATGGAGCTAGGATGCCCCAATTAAAGAGCCCCCCAGATGGGGTTGCTAAATGTGAGAAGGTAGGGGGTGTAAGGTGGCATGCCAACCTCCATCCAACCATGCCCTCCTCTCAGCTTGGCGCAGTGACCTACTTCAGCCCGCCAATGCCGTAGCAACGTACACTGCAGGGATAGCATGGGCTGTCTAGTCTGACAGTAAATCGACTGAATACCAGCACTGCATTAGTTTTGTTGACAAGGATGTCATTTGAGGATATTCTTTTGATTTCTTCTTTCTGAGAGTTTTCCACGTAACCATCATTAATCCTATAAAGCCTACTGGATAATTTGATGCATTCATTTCTAAGGCCTCTAAATTATCAAAACTTTGCTGAAAAACCTGTTATACACAATCTTGATACTCAACAAAATATATAAGGATATATGTCTAAAGGTTCAATAAACTGTTAAATTTCAAATACATGAGATTTTTCTGACTGTTATTGTAGGCTTTACAGAATTAATAATCACTATCCTTGTTCAGAATTCACTGAACATTTGGGATAATTATAGTTGACCTCTGCTCCTGCAAATCCTAAAGAGTTCATTCTTCTCCCTGACCTTTGTCCTCTAACCCGTCTCTGCTGCCATCTTGACGAGCTCCGTTGTCACTGAATTTTTCATTGAACCCTAAATTGAACATGACTCTTCATTAGAGTATATTTATCCATCTGTCACAAGCTACAAATCTTTTGTGGTGCTCTTTAGGTTTAAACAGTACTTCTATAGGGGATTCATGGGTCCCAGACAGTCTCCGTCCTGGCAGATAAAGATTGCTTTGATTACCTAAAGGAACTGGTTGTCATTTACGTAAAGCTTTAGCTAATCCTGTAAGTGTTCTTCGCCTTCTAGGCTACCAGACTGTATTTGACTACTTCAGTCCTGTCACACCACCAATTACCTGGAGAGTTGCCTCCCTTTGAAACACCTTTGCATACACAATTTAATTTTATTAATGGTTCTTGTTAAGGCAATCACTATTACTATTGTTCATACTTAGAGTTACGGGTTGTTTAAAAACCCCTAACTTTGAGTATTAAACTTCGTTATGTAACTTTGAGAGGTGTGCTATTACTTTTCTAAGGGATCAGATTTAGGATTTCCACCTGGCAGATGATAAAACAGATGAAAATAATCCCATAGATTTAAATTGAACCACATTTAGAGACCTGAAAGAGACTTGGTGGCTAGTAACAGTATATGACAGTATAGCAACATGACAATGCCCTTGCAATTATACATCTAAAAACCAATATGAACATTTTAACAACTGCATAGCAATGGTCTGGCAATCACCCACAAGCAAGGATTGTAAAGGAGAGATTGAAAATATTTAAAAGAAGACTGTAGCCATTACACCTGTCTTCAGTGTCACATGATCCTTCAGAAATCATTCTAATATGCTGATTTGGTGCTCAAGAAACTTCTTATTATTATCAATGTTGAAAACAGTTATGCTGCTTAATATTTTGTGGAAACCATTTTTTCTCTTTCAGTCAGTATTCTTTGATAGAAGGTTCAAAAGAACAACATTTATTTGAAATAGAATCTTTTGTAATAATAAATAATAAATTACTTTCACTTTTGATCCATTTAATGTCTTTTTTTTTTTTTTTTTTAAAGGAAGTCTTTCTGACCCTAAACTTTTGAATGGTAGTGTAGATCAACTGACTAAATGTGTTTTCATTCTTTTGCAGATGACAAATCCTGCCATTCAGAATGACTTCAGTTATTACAGGAGGACCCTGAGCCGCATGAGGATCAATAATGTTCCTGTGAGTTTTCTCAAGAATTGAAACGGTCACTTTTATATTGCTAGGACTTTCCCAACCCCCCCCCCACCCCCCATGCCAC